CTTGTCATAAAACTCGGAGTGAGATGGCTCAATGCCAAAAGTTAGTCTCATGTTATGGTTCTTTTTTATTGAAATCCTGTTCTTCCTCATTAGGGGCGCAATTAACATTCCAGCAGTTTGACTATGTTTCAGGATCAAGTTTGGATTCAAAACAACAGCAAATTTAGCACGTACATTGGGTGTGGTTACCATCAAGAGAGCTTGGTTATGGTGAACTAATCGATTGTATAATTACAGTTGACAGGAAGGCAGAAGCTTCCTATCATATTTTGCTTTCATACCCCATTAGGGAAGTTATCAGATGTCTGTTACTTTCAAGCGATATCTATTTGAAGATTGTCATTTCAATTTCGATCGGGCCATCAGTTTCAGTCAATAAACTTCCTCTGCCTGTCGGTATGGTCTTGATTTGAAGCTCGCTGTTGCTGTAGTCTGGAGGAAAATCTTCATCTTCCAAATCCTCCTCACTGATGAAACCTGATGATTCTTCAGCTCCACGGCTTCCACGACGTTTTACATTAAATATTTTGTCAATGCTACTCTGAAATCGCTCTAGTTTTTGTTTTCTTTCCCTGTGACGCTTAACTCCAATACGGACAAGGACACGTTCCATGCTCCGTCTGACTGCTCGTCGAATCCTCGATGGAAGTTTTCGAATCCTACAGAAAATTTTGCTTAGGGTTAAAAGCTAACCTTTGATGACTTTTAGATTCTGAGTTTTTTCTAAGATTTCTAGAAAGACAGAAGTAATACAGCAAACCAGATCAATGATGTCAATCAGGTGGTACGAGCATATCTAGAGGGTATTACCGTGCATTTAGCACTCTTTTTGCTAAGATATTTACAACAATTTTGATGAAGTGCTTTGACATGTCTCAAATGCTTTAAGACCTAATGCGCAATACTCCTCTCGAGAAATTCATAACCTCCCCCCCCCCTTCCCCCAACCCCCGCCTGCCTTGCCCCCGCCTTGATCAACATATTTTCTCCCATCAGATGCGTTTTCGATGTACATACTTGAAAAAGAGCATTTGTTGTTACACACGAACAAACCGGTGGATTTCTGGAAATTAAAGTTGGAGGCACATTATGCAACAAAGAAATAACGAAATCCGTGCCAGTTCACTTAACTGTCTCCCGACCATGCGCAGATTTTGTTGTAATCTTGGAAGAACAAGGTCCATCTTGGGCAAAAATTTCAACCACTGGCAATGAAAATAATTTGCGCAGTTGTCAGGAAAAAATAACTTTCACATAATAGCAAGCTTCCAATTAGAAGCAAAATACAAAACGAACTCGAAGAAACTTATCACTTAACGAAGTACCTTTGTAGTTGGCACACTTTGTCCCGAAAGATATTTTGCAACACATTACCAACTGTAACGTGGTTTTTCAAAACTATAAAACAAAATTACTATCTCTTTGTCTTGCATGTCTTGTATGTCGCGACTTTGAACAGAATTTAATTCAAATATGACGTCACAATTTAGATAATTACGAGCGCAAAGGGAAAGTCAAATTAAATCGTGAGATTGTCAGTCACTGAGATAATGAGCGTTTACTTGTAGACAAAAAGGGTTACTTAGGCTTCGTCTTTTTAAACTACGAAAAGGTCAGAGTGTATAGCCGGAGAGTCGAGTCACTTCTCTTTTCTTTACGTCATTAAAAAATGTTTCCTTGTGTGTGTGTGTGGCGGGGAAAGATTCCCCTGTATAAGATAAAACACGAAAACTGAGGAAGTCATAAATATCATGAAAGAAACCAAGCTCGTTAAGGATTACGCTTCTGTAAAGAAGAGTTGGCTAGGAAGGCAATACCGAAATGCGGCGCACGCAAAGTTCAGTACAGCGGACAAGTACTATAAAGATATGCGCGCCAGGAGGTAACATGGCGGACGAGCTGAAGATTTCGATACAATTTAGGTAAGGTTCTGCTCCAGGTTTTCTCCCAGCCTTACAACCGCAGATCGTTTTGATGAGAACATAAACTTTGACTAAAATTTTCTCTTCTTTAAAAGTGGCGGCGCCGAGTTACTGTTCAATAGAGTAAAGGAACATGACGTGGTCTTACAGAAGGATGGAAAGCCATGTGAGTGTCAGATTATCGTTATTTATTTCTGTTAAGAGCTTATTTTCCGAAGAATTTAGCGGTTCACTTAAGCCTTTCCGCTAAAAGCCTTAATCGGCATACAGATTTTAATAAAATTACTTAAGATGAAAATGCTTTGTAGCAAGTCTCTCTTCAATCAAAAAATACGTACCCTCTTTTTTTGGTCTTTTTTTCAACAGGGAATATTAAAAGATTACTAGCATGGATCAAAGACAACTTGCTTAAGGAAAGACCAGAACTGTTCGTTCAAGGAGAATCAGTGTATGAATCACTGTCTATTGTTAATGAAATATTGCATGTAAAATGCCTTCCTGGATTAATCTAGCTAGATTAACAAGTTATTAATAATTATTTTATTACTCCTTTATTGCTTAATGGAATCAACATCAGACAATTAAAGTACTTTTGTTGCATTATGGTTATCTCAAGTTGAATAAAAGGATGACAGCTGTAGTGGTTGGTACTCACAGACAGCCTCAGAAGTCATTTGAGTGATATTTTGAATAAAAGTAGACTAATGAAATACTCAGAAATAGTTGTGTATTTTTTCCTTAATTTTCAGACGGCCTGGTATACTAGTACTGATAAATGAGGCAGACTGGGAATTAATGGTAGGGACAAGGATAGATTTTCTACAAAAACAGCACAAAATACGTCATTCTTTGGTCTCCTTGATAACTGATGCTTTTTGCTTTCTGTTAATTAGAAAATTTTCCTTAAGCTTGTAGATTTTGAGGTTTAAGAGCCAATTGAGATGAGCATCAAGTAAGATTAAAACCTAAAACTAAACTCATTACATTCCCTGTGATATCTGTTGATTATTTTTTTTATTGAAAATCAAGAAAATTTTCTTTCCTCTTTATCTTGGTTTTTAGTGAGTTTTTCTTTATCAAGAGTACACATGAACATGGCAGACATACATTAAAGCACAGGGTTTTACATTAATAACCCATTCATGCTTTCTTCAAATTATATAAACTAATTTCAATGTTGAAAATTTACTCTTCTCTGCATCACCCAGTTTCTGCTCAAACATGCAGAGCAATTGCTCAGGTGTCAAGCACTTATTCCTTTTAACTGCAATGCATTCCTCTCCTTTGATTACTTCACAGGGTGAACTGGACTATGAGTTGCAAGAAAATGATAACATTGTTTTTATTTCTACTCTCCATGGTGGATAAGACTGCATAACTTTATAGAACATTTTCATGGACTAAGGATCAGATAGATGTTGGCATTGGCTTGTATTCCATGGGCTCATGATCAAGGTTCAAGCAAGAGGAACATGAAGGTCTTAAAAAATCCTTAGAATTTGGAAAGTTTCAATCAAGATGGGAAGATCATCCTGCAATAATCTGAGTTTCATGGAAGTGGCAACCAGTTGCAGAGGTCCAAATCTACTTTACAAGAACAATGGAAATATATGTGCTAGACACTGTGTAAAGACAACAATAACATCTGTGAAATTAGCCTGTATGTTTACCTAAAAAGGAACACTAATCAAGACATATTTGGGTGTACCCAAGGGCTTTCAATGATAAAATAGACATAGTTTTATGATGATTTTCACACTCAATTTAGACATTAGATATGCAAGTTATAAGCAAAAGCATTTGAAAAGTGTGTGAAAATGTTGTCCCCTTCACACAATATTGCACACACTTTTCTACTAATTCTTGAAGCCTCTCTGAAGAAAATGTACTCTGATGCATGCACTTTAGAGCCTCAATGGTAATTTGTGACTGAACATGAACAAACCATGATTTCACTCCTATCGTGGAGTGCTAAGTAGCAATACCAGAGGTCACACTGGCAAAAATTGAAGATGTGGTTACTAAGATATTCTTGTACAAAGGTTTCCTCAGTGATCATACATTTAGAGGTAAAGAATATTGTCAGCCAGGAGACACTAATCTAACCATGAAGTTTAAACGATTTCATTCTGCAAAGGTTCAAAGTCTATTCATAAATACCCTGTTCAGTGAATAAGAATCATGATAACTACATCATATTCAGAGATAAAATCATGAATACAAATGAGTGGCAGACCAGTAGCCTTGCCTGAATCTCTTATTATATTGAATTTATCATGAGCCAATCAATTCAGGTAAACATGATTACTAAGCATTGGTCCACATTATGGATTGAGGGTAGATAATTGCCCTGGGTGAAAAACTCCATCCCAAGATTCTCTCTTCAATCCACCAGAAGGTTCTGTCTCCAGGGAGGAAAAAAGTTTTCTCTCTCATCGTGTGTTAGTGAGTAAAGGCCACTTTTGCTCTGGAGGAGACATCCCAAGTGAAAAAAAATAACTTTGAGGGGAAATTTTCACTTTGCAAACTTTGACTCTATGGTCAATCTATCAAAAATACCCATTATTTAACAGTAGCTGACCATAACACCTGAAAACAGCCACAGTTTGACATTCCACCTACATTTCTATTACAACCTAAGTAAAGCTGGGTCATAGCTATCTCAAGCTTCTAGACACCTCTGTAGAAAATTTTGAGATCAGAGAAATTTCTCTCGCTGGAGGTGGAGACTTCTGGCCTGAAATGAAGGCATATCTGTCGTAACTCCCAAAAATACCCATAACATGACAAGTGGCTTGTAGTAAAGATGACAATAAGAACTAGTGTTTGATGAAAGGAGCCTTTTTACCCTTGTGGCAGTAACTTAACCTGCTAACAAGGACAGTGTCGAATTTAGCAAAAGTATCTGGTACTGAAGTATTGAGTTACAAGGAATAGATAGCATTTTAACATGAATTACAAGCAATCATGGTGTTGGCAGATTTTTTTTACTGTGTTTTCCTTAGAATAAAATTTTATAAAAGCACTTCCCAAGGAGAAAAACAATTAAAGTACTGGCTTAAAACCAAGAAAACAACATTTCTTGTTATTTATACATGGCATTTATTGAAAAGCAGAAAGTTACTCCTTTACAGCATATTTTCTCAATGAGAAGTGTGCGAGTTTCTTCTGCTGCTTCTTGGTCTTAAGGGATGCCTCATGCTTAGTAAAAGCACGTCTCATGGCACGCGTCTTCTTGGGTCTGAGATCAAGAGGTTTAAACTTCTTGGATTTGTAGAACTTGCGCAGGTTTTCACGCTGAGTCTGGCTGATAACAGTCAAAACTCGAGCAATGGATTTGCGAACAAGTTTTCTGCAAAGAGACATATTCCTAGTTAGGAATTTATAACTCTGAAAAAATCATCAACAAAGTTTACAATAGTTCTTAGTAGTTTGATAATAGTGTTTGCCAGTTAAAGAAATCAAGGAGAGTCTCACAAGACTAAAAAAACATATATTCAAGGAACAAAATCATACTTCTTAAAGCCTTTTTATGATCTGTACCATTAAATAATTTGTTTTAAATCAATCCACTAGCATCATGATCATAATGAAACACAGCCAAAATCATTAACTTGCTACGTATCTAGATGCCAATCTATAAGCAGCTAACATCTGCACCTGATTGGTTAAAGCTGGGTTAAGATAACCCAGGGTTAGTGTGAAATCTGATTTCAGATCTGAAAGCTTCAAAGAAAAATTCAGTATAACTCTCCTTTTCTAAAATTAATGATTGGATGCTTGAAGAGAATATAGAAAATTATCCCATAGAGGCTTTTGAACAAAGGAATAAAGAAACCCAGACTGAAATTTAACCTTGGGTTAGCACTAATCTGCCTTCAAACAACTGGATCTTAATTAACTTTTTCTCCATCATTTCTCAAACATACGTTTCAATGATGTTCCAATATATATAAAAAAATTTCAACTTGATTGGGACACTGTGCATCCAAATAATAACAAACATTTCTAATTTTCACTAATTCCAATGACGTTGGAAATTGAGCATAATTGCTTACAACAATTGACAAACATTTAATAACAGTTGTGGGAATGTACTAGGCATTTAAATGAAGGCAAAAATAATTAAGGGATGCCTGTTTCACTTCACCCCAGACTTAAACTGACTCTAGAAAACTTCCATCTGCCCAAAAATTGTGTTTTATGGCACTGAGAAAATCAACTGCTGCTAGACTTCCAGAAAGTCTATAATCATGCACACAGAGCATTACTCTTTTGTAAATCTATTTTTCAGCAATAGTAAATTGGGTGTAGGAAATCATTTAGTAATGAACAATTTTATCATGTTTTCACAGTTAAGATCTAGCTTTAATGTGAGTAGAAATAAGTACAGGTTTTGGAGTTCAAACAGAGACAGTTTTGGAAAAAATCGTGTTATCACTATTGGTTTAACAACTCAGGATTGGTTTATTAATTCATTTTAACTCACATTTTGGACAGCTTGGATGCAGCCCCTCCAGTAACCTTGGCGACTTCTAAGGAGGCCAACTCATTCTTCAGCTCATCGAGCTGCCTTAAAAGATCTTCTTTTTTCTTCCCTCGAAGTTCGTGAGCTTTGACCTTCACCTGAAGTGTATTTAAATACATATATATGTACTTAGCATCTTCGTATCGCGTGATCAGTGACACAGGAATATATCAAGGAATGTACCAACGTATTCACGAGTCAAGACAAACCTCGTTCGAATGGATACTCTTATACTTCAACTTGACTATCAAACTCTCTCGTGTTTCCTTTATTATTTTGCACGGAGTTCGCTCCATAGGAAAATCTACCGATTACTCGATCCTTAACAGCTAACTTAACAGTTGAGTTCTATTATTTTCGATTTTGGTAGTAATATACTTAATATCTTAAGTCGATGATTCGTCACTCAGTGAAGTTTACGCATAACGAGGAGCTGTTACCAGAAGTTACGAGTGTACAAATTAACGCTTTGATAATCAGCTATATCAAGGTTGAAACGTTAAGATATAACTATCAATGAGGAGATTAAGGTTTATTGTCACTAGGGGAAACTGCATGGTGAAGTAAAGACAATAACAGATTCGATGGAAAAGGATGTTTACAACATAGATTTTCACGAAAACCCACCATTTTGGATGTTGGCTAAGAGAGAAAGAACTATGGGATTTTGAGTAGCCTCATGGGTAACGAAACCGCTGAAAGTTTAAGGAGATCGTGGGCCCAATATCGGCTCGAAGGATCCGGGAAAGAGGGAAAGAAAAATTTGAGAGAAGTCTAATTGAGAGGTTTGGCAAGGGAATACGATCAAGAAAAGTTACGGCCCAAGATAATGAGATTCATGAGTGAAATATCGTAGAAACTAAGCAACAAAACAAAAAGGGTAGGAGCCTACTCGCGTGTGCAAATTACTACAGACAAGATTATTTTTCTAGCCTAGAACCATATGCCCCAGGAGGTTTACGTTGTATCGCATCCAGCATAGAATCCTGATTTTTCGAATGTGAAATATTTGATTTTCTCAAAATCTTATGAAATAGAAATAAAGGAACAAATTGTACTCTCATTTGTGAGTCAAGGAGAGAAATCATTATGACGTAACTGAGTACTATTGTTACGCGAGGATAATTAATGTGGAAGAGCTTCCACATCTATTGGGCGAAATCAACGTATTGGTGTGATTTAAAAGACCAAATTTAGGTAGAAGTAAGACTTGGATTTGCAATTTTTGCCCCTGCATTTCATTCTTGCCCGCCCCCTTGATGATTCAGATGGACTCTGGTGATTTTGAACAGACAAGTAAGTAGATTTCCTGCAACGAGAGCTATCTGAGTCTAATAAGGATAACATCAGAAGTAGAATTGCTTCCACTATACAATCAGCGTCACTACATGGCATCAACTTGACTAAAGACGAACAACATGCCCTTAAACGACTGAAAAACGACAAGAACATAGTTATTCTATCAGCCGACAAAGGACGAGTTACTGTTGTCATGGACAAGACTGACTATCACGACGAAATGGATGCAATAGTTAACGACAAACAAACCAACGAAGAACTCAAACGCGACCCGACTCCTGCGCTTCAACGCAACTGAACAGCACATCACTGACACTCAAGAAGACAGACGCCATTGACAGCCAACGCTACTACCGACGATGGTGTTCAGTACCACAGCCACCGAAACTTTATGGTCTGCCGAAACTACACAAACCTGGTTTCCCAATGCGACCTATTGTTTCTTTCTGTGGTTCTCCGACATGCCATGTCCAAGTACCTGACGACAATAGTGCAACCGCTCACCGACAAATCCAGACGTGAACTACACTCTACCGGGGACTTCATTAACGTCACTAAGACTGTACAGATACCTAACGACTACAAACCAGTGTCATTTAATGTGAAATCGCTTTTTACAAGTATTCCACTTCAACTGGCACTACAATGTACTGAGACTGCCATCCTACAATCTACCTACAATCTACCGACCCTCTACCGCTACCGACAGAGGACATTATGGACTTACTAAACCTTTGCCTGACGTCAACTTACTTTCAGTACAACGGTAAACACTACAAACAGTTATACGGTACAGCTATGGGGTCTTCAGTTTCTGTTGTTGTAGCAGAAATTGTGATGCAGAACATCGAGGAAAGCGCCCTTTCGACTTTCCGAGAAACGATACCGCTTTGGTTACGCTACGTTGACTGATACTTTCACCGCCGTACAACACGACGAAATCGACGCATTCCACCACCCTAACGAATTAAACACTGACATACAGTTTACTAAAGAAGTCGAAGAAAATGGTAAACTAAGCCGTGACAACAACTCACTATGGACAACAGTTTACAGGAAACCGACACACACCGACAGATTACTGGACGAGTCATCCTACAACCCGACATCACACAAAGCCACAACTATCAGGACTCTTACGCGACGAGTGCAACTAATTTGCAATACGACAGACAGCTTATCCGACAAGAACAAGTACCTTGACCATGTTTTTCAAAGAAAAACTACAACGAAGACTTCATCCAACGTAACACTCACCGACCTACTACTACTACCCAAGCTAACGACAACGCAACCCCTACGACCATAGCAACTTTACCATACATAAAGGGCATATCTGAGAACATCTCGCGCATCCTAAAACCATTCAATATCTGTGTCGCTCACAAACCTATTACCACACTACGTCAGTTACTGACGTAGTGTGCAGACAGGGAGCAGACAGGGAGACAGGGCAGACAGTGTGCAGACAGGGAGCAGAGTATAAGATCAATTGCTCCGACTGCCACGCCTCTTACATCGATGAGACTGGCGGAAACCTCACAACTAGACTGACTGAACACAAACGAGCATCGAGGAAAGGCGATGTCAACAATCACATTGCTGAACTTCGCCGACTTAAGAACCACACTATTGACTGGGACTCTGCGTAATGCCTAACCTACAGCACCAACTACTTTCAATGACTGACCCTGGAAACTTGGAACAGACTCCCCACAAAAGGTGTCAACCACTACCGGCACCATACAAACAACTCATTCACGACATTAACATTACAAACGAACGGCACGGAACGACCTAACTTTAGGCAGATCGAGACAGACCAATCACGACCGACCTACGTTTCTTGAGTCTTACAGCCAATAACATCACGGCAAAACTTACCAATCAGTTTATACAAACCGGACTAAGTACATTCGACTGACAACAACTGTTCACTTGACTCTGATGATGACTTCTGCTCAGATTGTCCAAACGTCAGTCACCATTACTGACAACAGTCCTTCTCAGGACTACACTCACCCGGACGATCAAACTACACTATTAAATCATAGATTTAACTGCGTGGTTGTGAGGGTGAAATGTGAGCGGTGAACGGAATGCGATCAGTGTTTTCCTTCCTTCCGAAGAAAGATTGGAAAATTTGGTGTTATGATTGAATTTAAGTTTGTTAATATCGTGGCGATGTTTTTTGATGAAAAAATCTAAAGATGCGAATTCGCCCTCAGGGGGAGTCCATTTAGACAATCGAATGTGAAGTGTTTCTAAAGTATCTTTATTCGAGGTGTTAGAATCATCCTGTTTGTCGTAAAAAAAGGCTTCCAATTGAACGCGGCGAAGGAATTTTTTAATTTCTTGCTTAACTGAAACTTCGTCGGTTTTTTCTAATAGGAACAAAATTATAGCCCTTACTGAGAACTGATTTTTCTGAATCGGAAAGTAGTAAATCTCCTGGAATGGTAATCACAGTTTCGAGGTTTTCAGGCGATGAGTCGCTAATAATTTGAGGTCCGATAGGTTGGTCGAGTTTTTGTGCCTGAATTTGGTGCAAATTGTTAGAAAGTTTAGAATTGGCATCTTTAATTTTGGTACGAATAGATTGTACTTAAACAGTAGACAGATTTTAGAAAGTGCAGAGCGGCAATGTAGAATTTGCTTGTGGAGTTCGTTACGTTTTTGGCACATAACTCTTATTGTGATTCTCATAATGTTACGTGAAAAAGAATTTTGGGCGCACAGAATTTGGTGACAATATTGATTAGAATGAGAAAAAGAAAATGCAGGAAATTTGGAGCGAAAACCCTCAGGAATAACTTTGGAATGAAGGCAACGGCCGATGATGAAATGGATGTGGCTACAAAACCTAGTTTTGGCGAAAATGAGAATGGCTAAACGGAATGCTAGACCTTTACTAATAGGGAGGAAAGGAAAAAGGTAACTTACTTCTCCTGGGGGTTGCCCCTTGCTAAGGCTTGGCATGGTCCGTTGTTGTGAGATCTGTGGATGAAAAAAATTCTAAGGCAAGAGTAAGTGGTCGCAGCAATTAAAAGACGTTAATAAAGGGGGTAATTTTCTAAAGAAACTGTGGTGCTGCGTCGGTGGGAGAGTATGACGGGGTAATTTGCTATTATCAACTAAGTTGATGACGTAAATAAAGTACTTTCGAAGCGTAAATAAGATACTTTCGAAACACTTCAGATTCGATTGTCTAAATGGACTCCCCCAGAGGGCCAATTTGCATCTTTCGATTATTTCATCGAAAATAAAGATTTTTTCATCATCAAAAATGTCGCCTCAAATTTAAATTCAATCGTAACACCAAATTTTCTAACCTTTCTTCAGAAGAGTGGTCGGCACTAAAATGTCTAAAAAACGCAAAGACATAGTTATTTAATTGGCTGACAAAGGCGGTGCAGTCGTTGTTTGGCGGGCCGACCCCCTACCAAAAAAAAAGAAGCTTTGCGGCAACTTTCTGACACCCTTTTAATGCCAAAGTTGACAAAGATCTTACTTTCATTAACCAAAACATTGCGAAACAAGAATATTGCCGGCCACTGCAAAAAATCTCACCATCATCACTCCTAGAACTTGGTGTATTTACTTTTTGCCTAAAATCCACAAACCTAACAACCCAGGTCGACTCATCGTTTCTGCCTGCAGTTGTCCCACCGAACCTATTTCCACCGAACTCATTTCCAGCTATTTAGACAAAACTATGTCACCTAGCGTCAAAACTTTACCATCTTACAACCAACACGCGCTTGAAATTTTTCGTTATTTTAATTTCCTTAGCCAAAACAAATTTATTTTCACTATGAATATTACATCTCTTTATACTGTCATTCTCGATGACAGAGGTGTCCGGGCCCTCAAACTTTTCTTTTTCAATCAACGCACTGTTAAGGAACCTAGCTCTGAAACACTACTCCGTCTAGCCGAACTAGCATTTACAGTCAATTGCTTTCATTCGGTAGCAACTACCACAAACAAACTGATGGCCTTGTCATGGGTACTAAAATGGGATCCAGCTACGCAAATCTTTTCGTTGGTTTTATCGCACACCAATTTTTTAGTCAATACCACGGCCTCAAACCTGAACTCTACGGCCGCTACATTGACGACTGCATCGGCGCTACCTCCAGTGTACCAGAGTGGAGCGCACTCAGTTTATAACCGCCGTCAATTCCTTTCACCCGGCTCTTAAATATACCTGGGAAATTTCCGACACTTATTTGGCTTTTCTAGACATCAAAATTTCAATTGAAGGCAACGGTCTATGCACTAGTGTTTACTACAGACCTACAGAGTCACATAGTTACTTGTTGTATTCATCTTCGCATCCATCACACGTCAAGATTTCCATACCTTTATCACAGTT